GCGCTCATTCCCTGTGCGTGAGGTAAAATAAAATACCCGCCCGCGGGTCCCACCAAGTGGAGCACGTGTGTGGCTAAGATTTTATCAAGTCCCTTTCGTAGCGGACCAACCTTGAAGAACCCCCGAGGAACAGATCAACGGCTAGTATCCCCTCAACGGCTACATCAAACAATTGGATCCAACAGTCAAAATCGAATCGGCGGCTGCCGCCCAAACGTTGTCTCCCGGGTGTTGTCGGTAAATTAGGAGTAACTTGAGTAATACTTTAATCATAAAAATAAAATAGCCGTTGGAGACTTCGGTGGCTAAATGGCCTCTATAAAAGCAGGCACAGAGTTTAACGCTCTTGAAAGTTTGTAGTTTTGCACAGAAAAATAATTACAAAGAAAATTGCAAAGCTGTTTTCTATAAACATCCCTCAGATCCGTTTGGGAAGATTTCTAATCAATTCTTTGTTATCTTTTCTCGTAGATTTTGTATATGTAGTATTTTTAAACATTTCTTTTTCCCCCCTCTTGAGAGAATCCGTAAAGATTAATTTTCTCTGTGAAATATAGATTTTTCTAAAGATTTTGATTTTAGGCTTTTGATCATATTATTTCAAAGATCATCGCCTGTTTTCTTTGTAATATATAAAAAAGATCCTTTTTTTCTCCAAATTTCAGTCAGTAAGGTGTAAAAGAAATAAAAAACAATCTCATGGCTGCAATTTTTATGTCATCTTCAGCTGAGAAACCATTTTCTCCTTACAAGCAACTCAGAAATGTCCCAAAGAGCAATATGGGAGCCAACTTCGTTCCAAAATCAAATGAAAACTTAGTTCCGACAAACACCCTAAATGGAACAGGAGGCGGCGGCTTCATGTTTGCTCCACCGCTGTTCCTCTCTTTCTCTTATCCTCCTTCGACTGCTCTTCACAATCCAATATTCTATCCAAATCATCAGCAGATGCAGCAGCAGCCGCCTCTCCTTCCACTTCCAACCCCCGATAATCCCCTCCCTTCTCGGACCCGGAGCCTTTCTTCTTCTCCTTCAAACGGGAAAAATAACAACAAAGCTAGAGACCAATCTCTCACTCCAAAGAGATCGAAATCAAAACAGCCCATCATCTGCGGCAGAGTAGAGGATCAGCCGAATAAAGATCATTTGAAGCCAACAGAAGCAACAAAAACACAGGCCATGATTAAGCCCTCAGTCATGGCATCAGTTAACCCTATAGGACCCGACCCGAATGATCTCCCCAGGGTTCTAGCATCGTCTTACGTAGCAACAGGTAACGTTGCCAAAGATTTGGAGAAGTTTTCAGGTTCTGTCTTTACACTCTCTCCACCACCTAGCAGCTTGCCTTTTCCCAAGTTTTCACTTAGACCCAAACTCAGTTGTATCGCTGAAGCCGCCGAGGTCGATATCGGAGCCACTGACAATCTCCGACGGCTCCTGCGTCTCCGTTGAATAAACGAACAAGATTGTCTCCGTGCGTTGTGCAGTTTGAAGACGGCCTTACTACGTATGGGTATGCTCTCCTTGATCGATTAGTAACTTCCTATATTTCGTTTTCTCGCGTCTCCCCTTGATATTCTAATTTCATGGGAAAGTAATGTGATCACCTCCTGTTTTTTCCTGAAATGAGGTGCGCGCAAAATAAGAAGAAGAAGAAGAAGGTCCTCGTCATAGATTGTACATGCATGTTTTTCTCTTCTTTTCTATATCATACATAGTGTGTAATATGTTTGTAATTAAGATCCGTATGCAACGATATTGTGATCACTACCTTGTTCGAGCACAATTATACGGCTTTGGCGCTTTGCCATTTCTTTTGTTTGATAATGTATGGTTGATTTCCAGCATAAAATTGCCAAAAATACTTTTTCTTTTGAAAAAAAAGAAAGAAAGAAAATCCTACCAGTGATGTAAATCCTTATAGAATTAACTAAAATGGAAAGCTTGTTGAAAATTTTTAGGATAAACTACATGTTAAGTAACTAAACTATTAAATTTGTTTTATTTTAGTACTTAAAACTTTTCTAAAATCACATCTAACATTTAGTTTAGATTTTATTTTGGTTTATTTCAACTTTAAAATTTCAACATAGTTTCTATAAATCCCCTCATGATCACTCTTACCTATCTCTATAACCTGCCGCTTCCTTTTTTTATTTAAACCATATATTAATAAAGTATAATTAAAAGACTTCATGTCATAGAAAATAAGTTAGAGGGATTAAAATAAGAATAATTTTAAAATTAAGTGATTAAATTTAAAAAATAAAATTTAATAATTAAAATAAAAGTGAGAAGATAAATGAGTAATAAATGACATAATTTACCCATAACAATATTGTACAACAATTCCATTAAATCTTTAACGATGTGGTAATAAAATGAAACTTAAACTAAACATTAATTATGATTTTGAAAATAAAATTTAGATACTAAAATAGAACAAAGATAATATTTAAGGTACTAAACGTGCAATTTGTGCAATTTTTTATGTTGGATTTAAAGCTGAAAATAGTCTCTCTTTTTTTTTTATGTCCTGTTCGACAATGCTGTTTAAAAGCACTTTTAGTTGAGAAGTTCGTTTTGACAGCAAAATTAATGTCAAACGAGTAAAAATTGATAAATAAATTTGATATGAAAAACGATGATTTCAAACCAACGGTAAAAGCTAGAATTTCCAGGTTTTTCATTCTAACTTTACATTTAGAAAAAAATTATATTTTACCCTTACTAATACATGAGTTCCACTCAATTATGTATTTACGTTTTATTTCAATAATTTAATACAAACATCCTTAAAACACAATTTATTATGATTTATATATTAAAATATTACAAGTGAGTTATATAAAATATATTTTTATTATAATTATATTTTTTATTTGTATTTTTATTATAGTTTAAATTGATATAATTCATATATAAATGTAAATATAATTTAAATACTATATTTTTAATTTACATCATAATATTTATAATAGACTTTTTATTTTTTAAACTCAATCTTTAACAGCAATATTAAACAATTAAATTTTAAACTATAATTTTGAACAACACTTTTAAATTTTGGTTTCTATAATACTTCTAAAGTAACTTTTAAAAAATAACGTAAAACTGACCTTAGATAAAGATGAAAAGGTGATTTAGAATTAAGCCCTTATTTTTCATTTTCGTTTTCATTTGTAATGTAAAAAATGGAGTTGACTACGATATCTCATTTAGCTGGACACCATGATTCCGGTAATAAAGGTGGAATAATTCGGTAGAATTCATAAAGGTAGAATAAATCTTGGAATTAAGTGGCCGAAAGCAATCCAATTTAGCAAGATCCTCATTCCACAGTGCTTTAGGTATAAAAGCAGCGAACCTTGCCGCCGTTGCTAAAAGCCGTGCAGGCACGCTGCCGCCAATATCTTAAGCATGATCGAAGCAAGACACCGAAGCTCTCAAAGCCGCAAAGGCACATTCGTCCAAGAACTGCCAGATAGTTATAAAAACACAGGTGCGTTCTCCAAACAGCCCTGGCATTTTACAAGAATTCAGTTAATTAAAAGTGGCTTCTTTTTTTCTTTTGATGATATCAAAGTTCGTTCCTTAATTAGGAAAGAGCATCCGTCTAGGATGGTCCCATTTCAAATTTTGCCCATATCTAACTTTTTTCTACAGATTTGTGGCCAATCCTCTAGTGATGCCTTTAACAGGTTGTTGAATTTAGGTTGGAGGGGGACTGTCTGGGGAGCAGAAACATAGAATTGCTATCGGAATAAGCCTAAGGCAGTGCTTCTTGATGAGGCCAACAAGTGCACTTGATGCAGATTCAGATCTCATAGTTCAGCAGGCACTAGACAAGATGGTGTCAAATCGAACAACAATTGTTGTGGCACATGGACTATCCACTATTAGAGACGTAATCGTTTTGAAGAAGGGTCTGGTTGTTGACAGTGGAAGCCACATGGATTTGATATCTAAGAAAGGATAATATGCCACTCTTGTCTTGTGAGATTGCAGTATCAGAAAACATTTCAAATTTAACCCCTATATGTCATTTTTGAAGTTCCTGGAAGTTCTAGCTTTTGGAGAACTCTCAACATTCAAAATCCCAGGGCAGGTTTCAAGGTCAATTACAGCAAAAGAATTGCTTTGAAGTGATCAAAACTTTTCTCAGGGGGAAAAAAAGACTTTGCTGCCAGTCCATCCAATTTCTAAACTAAGCATGGCACTAAGCACTGCTTGGCTCGGTTGGTGCTAGTCCACAAGGCATGGAAGCTCTATAATTTGCCTTTGCAATCGCGCATGTCTCGACTGCTGGTTGGTTGATGAGATTTTAAATTTAGAACAGTGATTCAATTCACTGTGCAGAAAGCAGAGAGCCTGATTCGAGATTAGGAGTGTAAAGCTTTGATTTTGGGGAGCTGTCTTGTCCTGTTGCGCTCCTATCATCTCTTGTAATTTGGCTTTTGCCTTCGGGGCCAGTCACCGCTATATTCAAATATAAATGACGTTGTTTGTTAATTTGAAAATAACTGTGTAACTACCAGGTACCAACTAATTTTACTTTCTGGAGTTCATTTATAATATATCTTTGGCTTACTAACGTATATATATATATACATATTTATGCTATTTCTTAACATTATTTTACTTAAAATATTAAAATTAGGATTTAAATGTGTATTCACTTTAAAAAATACATACCAGGTATATATTTATTTTATATGTTTCAAGATTCAGTTTTTATTAAAAAAAATTCAACCATCTACATAGTTATTGTATCGTGATCTAGTATTATATAATATGAAGTTATATTATATTTATATTATTGATTGTGGGATTAATTATTGGTGAGGACAAATTGTTTGTTCTCAAAGGCAACAGAAAAAGAAGAAGAGGGAGAGAGAAAGTCCCAAGTGGCATTTCCCCCCCCCCCCAGAAATAATAATAAAAAAGGAAAAAAATGATATTAGTACGTGGAAAGTGAGGTGAGGCATAGGTGGCGAGGTCAGCTTAACATTCAGTTCAAACTTGAACCGCATTTGTTTCCCCATCTCCTCTCATTTTGCCATTTTCCCTTTTCTTTCTCCATTTTCTCTGTCTTCCACTTGCCTCCACTCTCCCATCAATCTGTTCCTTAGGATTTGATTCGAGGAGACAACAGATGAAGCCTGTGGATCTCATTCTACGTTTAACAGCGACGACGATTACAAGAAGTGCGTGAAGCAAATCTGTGAAAGAAAAGCCCCAAATTATTGGGAAAAAAACGATTTCAATATCTGTTACTTTTTAATTCTAACGGCGACGGAGGAAAATGAGCGCCTCGAGGTTCATAAAGTGCGTCACTGTCGGCGATGGCGCCGTCGGAAAGACCTGCTTGCTGATTTCCTACACCAGCAACACGTTCCCCACGGTGAGCCTTTTCCATTATCCTTCCTTAATTTTTGGATCTTTGATGAAAGATGTCCCATGAATTATCAGCACCTCCTCTTTTTTTGAAAAAATAAAATAAAATTCTGCATGGATTATCGGCATTTTTTTAAAATTTTCTGTTTGGTTCCCAGATAGGTGAAGAAAATTAAAAATACAACCTGAATATCTCAGTAACTTGTTTTCGGATAAATGATTGAAGCATTGTCTATAATTTTTTTATATTCAAGCGAGCTTTGTTCTATATTTCTATGACGTCGAAATTTCTATAGAAAGTTTTGTTGTCTTTCATAAATGCCGTTAAGATTGGGCTCAATGCCGTATTATGTAGATAGATCAGCTACAACCAGATATTTTCATGGTGAACTGAAATCAAAATTGGGGCGATTGCTATGTCAGGGTCTGATCATCTTTATTACAGATTTTCATATTGGTATCTTTATTTTTATTTTTTACAATTTCTGTGGAACAGGACTATGTGCCAACTGTTTTCGACAATTTCAGTGCAAATGTTGTAGTGGATGGCAGCACTGTCAACTTAGGCTTATGGGATACTGCTGGTAAATTAGAAATGGCTTCTGAAATTGTTTTTCCTGTTAGTAAATGCGATTTCTTTCTAGCTTTTATTTGAAATTATTGCCTTGAAACAGGTCAAGAGGACTACAATAGATTACGACCATTGAGCTATCGTGGGGCTGATGTCTTTATTCTTGCATTTTCTCTCATCAGCAAGGCCAGTTATGAAAATGTTGCCAAGAAGGTTTCGCCTTTTGAATGATATTGTCTTTAGAGATAAAAATTTGTTTAGCATGGGTTGAGATATCTGTAATTTCTTGTGCATGTTGATCATGTGTTTTCTTGGTTTTTATTTCAGTGGATTCCTGAATTAAAGCATTATGCACCTGGTGTTCCAATAATTCTTGTCGGAACTAAGCTTGGTATGATACTTTCTCCCCAGATAATGATACGCTTGCCATGGTTGCCTTGTGAATTGTTTTTGAGTAATTCCCCAAGCGGCTGGAAAATTTCTCAAATAAGAAAGAGTATCCTTTATATTAATGTTTAAGAAACCCTTTCTATTTTATGAAAAATTCTTATGTTTCCTACTCTTTGATGCTGCAGATCTCCGTGATGATCAACAATTCTTAAATGACCATCCTAACGCAGTTCCCATTTCTGCAGCTCAAGTACTTATCTACAGATTATTATTATTCTCGTTATTTCTTTCAAGGAGAATACATTCCTCTCATTTTAAAAATATTTTTCTTGCATATATTCTTTTTCTTAAGGGAGAGGAATTAAAGAAACAGATTGGGGCTCCTGCATACATCGAGTGTAGCTCAAAAACACAGCAGGTTAAACATCATCCATATATTCTTCATTTTGAACCTGAAATTTGTGTTGAATTCAAATGGAATCTCGTGCAATGGCTTTAATGCAGAATGTGAAGGCAGTCTTTGATGCAGCCATTAAGGTAGTGCTCCAGCCTCCGAATAAAAACAAGAAGAAAAAGTCAGGTGGTTGCTCTATATTGTGAACAGAGGAAGAGTCGAGTCTGGAAAAGATGGATCTACCTGTCAGCTTCTTGTTGTCAGTACCTCTATCACTGTCACTTTCTTTTCCAATTCAGGGAAACAGCAAGCCACCATGTTCAAGTCTTAACCTGACTTTCTATGGATTCCTGTGAAAGCATCAGGTGAATTTGTTTCGTGTTTTACCTAGTCTATCTATGATTTTGATGACAAGCATTTCTTGTTAATATGCGCGTCTCTTTTGCTTTTAATGTTTAAACTTTTTTTTTTTTTGCATTATGTTTAAATTTAAAGCCATTTTATTTACGTATGGATATTATTAATTTCCTTGAGTCGCAGAATTTAGATTCAGTGTCTTGTGATTTTTAATATAGAGAATTCCATTTACACACTTTAGCCTTGCACACCTTCAAAATTATGAATGGAAAATAGGGATTGCATCTATAGAGGTTCCGCCCGCATTTTACTTATTTATGTTTAATTTAAATCGTACAAGCATTAATCCAAAAAAATCGTACAAGCAACAGAACTTCATCTTGATAAAATTAGAGCACAATAATCAGCCACTGATCAAATTAAACACATATTTAAGTACTGTATAAACGTATCAATAAAGCATAATAATCAGAGAAGAGGTCAGCATTATTACTCCTGTGGTCTTGTGTGTTAATGTATAGCGGTTATCGACGCCTAATAAAGTCATCCTCTGGAGAGCCTGGAATTATCGGAAGAATTGCTGTCAATTGAGCTTTGGAGTTGTAAGAGCAACAAAAAACATTCAACACAAATTACAAGCCAAACGCCACTGATTTCATGTCCTTTCTTTTAAATCGAAATATTAGCTGATGACCGAGCAGTTGCCGCTATTTCTTCTTCAAGCAATACAAACGTTTGATTGAAAAATTCATAAGCAACATGCTCGAGATCACGGTCATTAGCTGCCCGATAGTCAGCAGGAAACAGACGAAGCACAAAGGTACCAAGGTCCAGAGGGAGCCTTGGCACCTCCAAAGTGTCGGAAAATTTGCTTTATACCCTTAAAATGTTTTTGAAATTTTAATTAGCCTCCTTGAAAATTTTAGAAATTCTCATGAAGTCTTAAAATTTTCGAATATTTTTAATTAATCCCCCTCAAAATTGTTAAAAAATTATTAAGCCTCCCAATTTTTTTGAAAATTTCAATTAGACCCTCACATTTTAAAAAAAAAATCTCACTAAGTCCCTCAAAATTTTGATTAGTCCTCCAAAAATTTTAAGAAGTTTGATTAGGCCCCTCAAAATATACCACCAAGATCCGCCACACCAATAACAACGAGAGATATTAGCATCTAAAACAAAAAGGGTAAACTACTTGAATGACCATCCGGCTATGACTGTGGTATCAAAATAACCACTATTTTCAAATTTTCGTCAATATGACCATTGAACTATTTAAGTGATATCATTTAAGTCCCATGTCGTTAAAATCTAGTGGAGGAGGCATGGCAGTTAACAAAAATTTATATAATTACATTTTTTATCCTCAATACTTGTATATCATATTAATTTAGTCCTAATTTAAATTTATTAATTTAAATTCATTTAATTAAATTTATTTTATATCCAATCATACAGTAACACATGTCATCTTTGCATGGAAAGAAAATAAAAAGGTGATAACTTGAATTTGGGTGGGGGAGCTTGAATTTGTGTTCTCCAAGATAGAAATGGGGGCCTAAACCATTGGGCCAAGTACTGGAATTTACACCAACATTTAGTTATCTCATAATATTATTAGTAATATAAAAATAAAGAAATTAAAATATTCAAATTATATTTAACTTTTAATATTTTTATATTTTTAAAATAAATAAAAATAAATTAATATTTTATTTTTAAAATCAAATTTAATATTTTTTATATTTCTAGACAAAATCTATGGAATAAATCATATAATATAAAATAAAAATATTTTTATAAATTTTTAAAAATAAATTTTATAATTTTATATTTTAAAATAATTGAATTTAATGTAAAATTTATTAGTAATATAAAAATAAATAAATTAAAATATTCAAATGATATTTAACTTTTAATATTTTTATATTTTTAACATAAATAAATAAAAATAAATTAATATTTTATTTTTAAAATCAAATATAATATTTTTATAATTCTAGACAAAATATATGGGATAAATCATATAATATAAAATAAAAATATTTTTATAAATTTTAAAAAATAAATTTTATAATTTTATATTTAAAAATAATTGAATTTAATGTAAAATTTATAATTACAATTAATTTCTTATTTTTAATTTTTAAAAGAATTAATATTTAATTTAGATCGTGTATTAAATATAAAAATGAAAATATTTTTATATATTACATGACTACATCCATAAACTTTGTTTAAAATTTATTTTTTTCTATTTTCTATGAAATATTTTTAATTTTTTTAAAATGAAATTAAGAAATTAATTTTCTTTTTAATTCTAAATTTTACATTAACTTTAATTATTAAATATAAAAATATAAAATTTATTTTTTAAAATTTATAAAAAATATTTTTTTATAATACATGATTTCTTCCATTAGTTTTGTTTAAAAATATAAATAAATATTGAATTTGGTTTTAAAAATAAAATATTGAACTTATTTTGATTTGTTCTAAAAATATAAAAGTATTGAAAGTTAAATATCATTTGAATATTTTTATTTCTTTATTTTTATATCACTGATAATAATATGAAGTAAATAAATGTTGGTGTAATTATCAAACAATATGCAGCAATTGGCTCAATGGTTAGGGCACCCCATTTTCATCCTACCCAAGTTCAACCCCACTCAAATTCAAGTTATCATCTATTTATTTTCAAATAATAATCTAAAATTCCTCCAATTAGGTGATGACAAGTGGCACTAATGACATGTGTCATGACCATATATTGATACGTGTCACCTTCTGATTGAAGGGTTAACTTATAAAAATAAATTTAAATTAGACTAAATTAATAGGATATAGAAGTATTTAGGATCAAATGTGTAATTATACAAATTTTGGTTATCTGCCACTTCAACCCTCTGTTAGATTTTATCGGTAGTTGGCTTACATTTAAATAGTTCAATAGTTATATTGATGCAAATTTAAAAACAGTGATAATTTTGACACCAACCCCATAGTTCAGTGGTCATTTAAGTAATTTACCCAAAAAAATAATAATCCATAATTCATGGAATCGAGATATGGTGCGCGGTGTGCCTTTTCCCTAATACCAAGTAGCTCAAAATTAAATATTTCATTATTTATTGGATAAATTACGTATTTAATCATCTATTTGTTTTTTTGTTTTTGTTTTGACCATCTAATTATTTTTCCTTTAAAATATTATGTTTTTGTTTTAATCACCCACAATTAAAAATTTAACAGTAATATTATTGTAGTATTTTTAATTTTTATGTCATAGGACCTTATTCAAGTCACTACTTTTGTGAATAAAATCAAATAAATTTTCAAGTGTTGATAGAAGGAATCGAACCTATACTATATTGTCACCACAAAATAAAACGAGTTTCGCTTAATCTAGGCTTCTACCTTAGACACTTCACATAAACAGATTCTTAGCCACTAAGCTAGATTAAGAATCTGTTTATGTTTCATTAAAATTAATATTTAACTTATATAACTGTTAAATTAAAGATTAAATCATTTATCTATTTATTTGAAAATAAGAAAACAATTAAACAACTATTATATAATTTTATAAAATTAATATTAAATTATTTTAAATATTAAATTTATAATAAAATATACATTTTAATAATTTATAAATAAATAAATATTATAAAAATCAATTATATAATATATAATTTAAACTTTATACTTTAATTAATTATTTAAAATAACTAGAAATTTGATGGAATACTAAATAGGTAGTTTATCTTTTAATTAATTACATAATGTCAGAAAAAATCTTTAATATTTAACTGAATAGTCACTTTGACTTATATTCTTTATTTGAAGTATTTTGATCATAATGTTTCAATTCAGGGAGGGGGGAATATCCATAATATTTGATTAAATAATCACCTTCACCTTTATTTTTCTTGGAAAACATTTTGACCTCTAATATTTCTTTTTAGGCAAAAAGATCTCTATTTTGGATCGTCAACCATCTATAGAAGCATTTTTTTACCTTAAAATGAAACATTAAATGCCAAAATGCTATAGAAAAATAATAGGGACCAAAGTGACTACTTAATCAAACTTTAAAAATATTCTTTTAACAACGTGCCTTATTTATTTACACCATTATAAAGTTAGAATCAAAGTCTACGTCTAAATTTACTTATATTTCCTTCAAGTTCTCTCACCTTGTTTAGATGAACTCAAGCACCATTGGGTGATTTGTGATTCTCCTCGTTCTCTATAAAGATTATCGAGTTAAAAGGTATATCGTTATTTTTAAATAATTAAATAAATATAAATGCTAAACTATTTATAAACATGTTGAGGGCAAGCATTTAGGCTTCAGTAATTAGCAGCTTCATTATTTCATTAGGCCCAACATTGTCTGCATCTTATCATCCAACGGTTGGCCACCACCTCACCCGTCTAGGATCCTTCCACGCGTCTAGCTTCAAATACATCGATGCGCATCTGATTTCCCCACTTCCGTCCGACTCCCCGTCGACTTTGACTCTGCAGCCAATACAAGATAGGAATCGGAAAAAGAAAAGGCAAAATAAAAACCTAGCCAAATTTTCCATCGGCAAACACTGAAGAATTTCCGATAGATCAGCGATGCAACAAGGAGATTTTAGCTCCTATTATCAATATCCTTACCATTCAAACCCTAACCCGAACCTCAATACATTACCAGCCGAATTTCAACCACCACCTTACGCGTCTGCACCACCCTTTAACTCCGGCTACGCCTCCTCGTCCGATTACTCCGGTTATCCTTCAAATTACCCTCCATATTCCCAAAATATTGATGCTGTCCCTCACGCTGCTCCCTCTTATACACCTCCACCGTCAGCCGCAACGATCCCACCGGTTCCGGAAATAACTCCACAATCTTCTTTCAATCAACAACCCCTTGCGCCACCATCAGCGACCGCAGCTCCTTTCCCGCCTTATGATTCACATGTTCCCTATCAGCCACCGACCTCCCAGTCGTATGATCAGCATCAGACGGCTTCCAGTTATGGCCCTGCTCTGCCAAACCCTAGCTCCACGCCTAATCCACCTTACTATTCAAATCCGTATGGCCAAGTAGGATCGCCGGTATCGTCTGTTCCTCCCGCATATGAAAATACATA